AAAGAGGGAAGCAACAACACACACCGAATCCAATTAGGTGGGGGTTAAAGGATCGTCCTTATCTTTGCAGGCGCATCCAGATGATCAGTCTATGGCAGGTAATAAACAACGCTGGGTGTGTCGCAAGAGGAAGGTGACAGAAAAACAAGACGCTGGCTCCCGGGTAATTCTCGATCTCTTTCGTGTCCGGCTTAAAGCCAAGAGGCAGGACTCTTCTAATAGTAATATCAATCTCTCCCCCACTCAAAAATAAGGGCATTCTCTTCCAGCCTACAAAACACTTCCTTCATGAGGAAATAACCAGCTGCCGTAGGATTTGGTCCTATGCGGGCACTGTAATTGTCTGAAACCTTGAGTATCAGCTTGGGCCACAGAAATAAATAAGATTAAATTAAAGAAATGGACCCTCTCAACGCACTACATCACACTCTGGATCCGGCCAGCAAACATCTATTTAATAAGGAGTTTATTAATAGTGAGCTTTCAACATGTCGTTGCTGGCAAGACCCACAGGACCCAGGAAAGAGGATGGGGCCAGTGGAAAGTCTGTGCATCCCCATGAACACGTTACCCATGTTTTCCAAATTGGAAAATGGTAATAAACCCAGTGAGAGAAGCTGCATTTCAGATACAAAGTTGGAAGTGGTAATCATTTATAATGGCTTCAGCTAACCATGTACAATGGGAAAATGACAAATGTGTCGTTTAGAATGTGCTGGACTAAATAAAATCACTTATATTAATATGGACAGACTCTTTGTGGGTTATTATGCAGAGGAAGGGAGGGTGTGATGACTCTAATTAAATGAAAGGGCTGGCCGATGTTTTTAACTTCTGGAACGTTTCAAATTCTAATATGCCCCTTGGAGGAACCCGGGGGGGATGTTGAGATTGTAATGAAGCCATTTCATTTTTATTGGGATGAAACACACACAGGCCACACACATCCCAGCAGCACCCGGCTACCCCACGCCCTGCCACCCCGTGCCCTGCCACCTGCAGAATCGGGGACTTGGAGGGCAAGCGGGTAAGTGAATGTGATTTGGAGCGCCCCAGGGGAGTGCTGTGCATGCTGCCATCCCATGGTCGTCTTCTCATTTACTCTGGAATGGCACCAGGATTGGTGTTCTTGGGTGGAGGGAGAGCAGTCAAGTTCTCATCAGCACAGTGTGTCACCCGTCAATTTCCTGAATTAGTAGGAGGCTACACAAGAGAGCCAAGATTCTCATCTCTTAATCCTTAGCCAACTTTCTTAACTCTGCCTTAAATGAAATCAATTCCAAAAGAACAAGAAAACACCGGATTAGACATTCTAAATGCCTTCTGTGTAGCACATACTGAGCAAATCGCAGAATGTCTGAGCCCAGAAGGGACCCTGGGCAGACTCTGGGCAATCCACCCTAGGACACAGAGAGGGTCAGCCATTGGCCCAAGGTCACACAGCAGGCATGTGGCAGAGCCCAGTGCACCATCCCTGGTGTCTGGGCTCCTTGGTTAATTTACCAACACTTTCTGGCTGGAAACCTCTGAAAGGTCTACTTTTTTTTTTTTTTGGTTTGGCTCATGTTCATTCAAGAGAGATTTTTCAAAAATCAAACTTTTCAATATAATTACAAATAGTAAATGGCTTGCCTTATCTGGACCTGTCACTGATGACTTAGCAAATAGGCTTCAAGAGAGGGATGGGAGCCCTCTGGAGAGAGGAACAGAATCCTTGCTAAACTGCTCTGAGGAACAATGGATCCTTGATTTGGGAGAGAGAGAAGTGGAAAAAAAAAATTGTACGTTCAATCGCCTTTGCTCCCTGGGAGGGTGTGACCCTCTCTGATTCATGAACTCTTAAGTAACTCTATTCCTAAAATTTTATTTTCTTTTTACTACACACACACACATACACACAATCTCTCCTTCAGGATGCTCAGAGGATCTTTTCCCCCTCTTTCTACCTGCAGGAGAAAAATAAAGGTTTTTTTAAGATTGAAAACACATCTCAAGAGCCAAAACACAGAAACAAGTCTATATTGACAGAGGAACAGAAAAAGTGCACACACACACACACACACACACACACACACAGAGGAATACTATTCGGCCACAAAAAAAGGGAAGGAAAATCTGTCCTTTTCAACAATAGGGATGCACCTGGAGGGCGTTATACTGAGTGAAATAAGCCAGACCCATAAAAGCAAATGCTAGATGATCTCACTTATATGTGGAATCTAAAGAAGCCTAATTCACAGAAGCAAAGAGCAGAAGAGTGGCTGCCAGAGACCAGGAGGGAAGGAAATAGGAAAATGTCAGTCAAAGGGTACAGACCTTCAGTTATAAAATGAGTAAGTTCTGGGGATCTAAGGCCCAGCACGGTGACTACAATAGATAATTCTGTACTGTATGCTTGAAATTTGCGAAGAGAGCATATCCTAAGTGTTCTTACCACAAAAATAAAATAACTCTGGGACGTGATAGATAATTAGCTTGATTGTGGTAATCTTCTTATCCTGTACGGGTATCACAAATCAATCACACTGTACACCTTAATTATATACAATTTTCATTTGCCAGTTCTACTTCCAGAAAGATGGGGAGGAAACAAACAAACAAATGAACAAATAACATTGAAGGAGCAAGAAAACAGGTCCTGTAATAAATGCAATGGGGTCTATGGCACAGAAAAAGCAGAAAAACTGGTGATATTTGACTCAAGTCTGAGGTTTGGTTAAAAGGAGTGTACCCACATCATAAAATCTCCGACACCAGGCCCTACCGCACTAAAGCTAATAGAGGGGACTGAAAGTTGAGACCATCCTGGTGAAGGGCAGTGTATAACTTAGCGAAGCTGGGGCCTCTTTGGGCTTGAGGTTCAGGGACTTAATGCCCTTAATTTTGTGGAGGTGGGTCACCAGCTCCAGGGGTTCTTCTGAAGTGTCCTGATGCCGCCTGCCTATCCTGCCACCAGGAGATGCTCGCAGCAGAGGCCGCAGAGACCAGGTTCCGCCTCCTCCGTCTTAAATTCCACCCACACGGAAAGTCTGTTCCCCTTTCCCCCTGGAGTTAAGGTGACACAAAGCCGTATTCATTTTGCCTGTTGCTTCCAAAGGGGTGAGTTCCAGGCAAGCTGTGTCTGGCGTTGGCCAGAAGAGGGGCACCCCGAGGCAGGAGTTCGTTTGGCCTCAGCCGACCCCTTCCAGAGGAAAAGGGACAGTCAGGGACCCAGGAGGCTGCTCAGCTCCCAGGGCTCCCACACACATCGTGTGCTCAAAAACCACAGCACGGAGAGTTTAGGTTTTACGAGAGGAGCCACGGAGGCTCCGACAGGACAGGCAGGGCGACATGCATGAGACCCAGGAGGGCCGAGCTGAAGCTCCAAGCCACATAGCTCCAGCCTCTGGCTGTGCCTGACACTGGGACGTCCACCGACAGGAGGGCCCATGCTTTCCCTGTCCGGGTTACCTGAGGCCTTTCCAAAGTCTGTCACCTTGTGATGACCAGTTACACAAGTCTTTTAAAATTGCCTCTAAAATTGAATCCACAATTATAATTGACCATTTGGATCATGTATCTTTTGAGTATAAATGTATCATCTGGAACTCCAGACCTTTTAGGGCCAAAGGCTAATGGACTATTTCTTTATAAATATATGGAATGTCAGAGAAGAGGGAAGACTGATGTGGGGGGGGAGGAGACAGAGAGGGAGGAGGGCAGGTGCATGGAAATCCACAAGAACCTTTGTCTGCTACACCCCCCCTCCCCAAAACAGTATCAAACATCAGGCTTTTCCCAGGAACAGCAGAGAAGTGTCTGAAATCCTCAAGGGGCAGGGGGCAGAAGGGCTGGCAACCAAACAAGGAAAGCGAAGAGTTAAGCAGGAGATGGTTCTGCCCCAAGTGAACGGGCAGGAAGTGGGCTCACTACACACCTGACCATGGGTCACTGAAGAGGACACAGGAAGTAGCCCAGCAGGCCCTCAGCTGGTGTCCCAATCACCTGCACTGAGGAGGACACGAGGCAGGGACAAAAGGTGTGGTGGAGAGAAGCTGGGTCACAGGGCACCCTAAATCCCTAGGAAACATCTTCCCACCCGCACAAGCTGAGTAGATCACTGTTTTTTCCCCAAACTTCTTCACTTCCTGTACAAAGATGGGCAAAAGTGGCGTGTGTGTGTATGTGTGTTTGTGTAAACACCTTCAAGGGATTCTCAAATGCACATGTACACCAAACACTATCCATCTCATACCCCAACTGGTTTTCAACAGCCCTAGGCGGTGCGATTAGCAAACACGAAACCGCTTTAAACAGCTTGATTAAATCCCTAGGAGACGGTTGTCATGAGGTTATTTTTCTCAATTAACAGACACAAAAAGTGCAGCTACTCTCAAGGGGGGGGGGGAATTTGTTTGTGACATGCAGGCAAGGGCCTCCTTGCCAACAAGGTTAGGGACACTTAGAAGGTCCAGTGGCCCCATTTTCCTCGTGGAGATCCAGAGGTTTGCAGAGGAAGAGTCCAGTCCCAGGACACACAGCCTGGTGTGTCCACAGCTGAGTCAGGCTGGAGCCCTGAGGATCACAGACAGCCTCCTCCCACCGGGCTGGTGCTAACAAAACTTTCTTCCAGGGTCAAAACCTGCCTGAACGATGAGAACAGCAACAGCAGAAGTGGGGACCACCCACTGATTACTAACCACATGCCAACAGGAGACCTTACCTTTTCCTTTTTTAATGCTGGTAAGAATCCCTATGCCTTTCACACTTGTAATCATATATTTGCCCGCGTATCTGATGTCTGTCCCACACACTGCCAGCCTTTATGCCCCCCACGAAAGCAGGCTCCAAGTCTGTTTTGCCCACCACCCTATCCACAGTGCCCGTTATCTGCTAAAACAAAACTAGATGTTCCAGTCTTAAAGACGGGGCCCAGAAAGATTAGGCAGTTTGCCTAAGGACACACACAGGCAGAGCTCCTGTCACTCTGTCCTGTACTTGTCCCCAGACCACAGGCTTACCTTGACAGCCTCAGCGTGGGTCACCCGGGCCAGGGACTTGTCATTGACACGCAGAATCTGGTCCCCAACTCGCAGCCCTTCCTTTTCGGCCAGAGAGCCTGGCTCCACCAGCGACACATAGATGCCCACGCCATGCTCCGAGCCCCCGCGGATGCTGAAGCCCAAGCCCTCGTGAGCCTTGGCGCGCCGCAGGCTCACCAGGCGCACCTCCCCCGGCCCCGCACCGTCGGGGCCGCCCCAGGCGGGCTGCCGGTAGGGGGTGGTGGCGGGCAGGTAGAGACCCTCGGCGGTGTACTGGTCGAAGAGCAGCTGGTCGGAGCGCGGGATGACCAGGCGCAGCATGGGCAGCAGGCGCCGCTTGACCGGGCTGTCCAGCAGCACGCGCAGGGTGCGCACCAGGTCGAAGACGTTGCGGCGCGCGTGGTACGCGTTCAGGCAGTGCGTGAACTGCTCCCGCTCCGCCTCGCTCAGCAGCGCCGTCAGCGCCTGGTGCAGCTGGCGCACGTTGGCAGACAGAAGCCGCAGCCCCGCGCCCCCGCCGCCACCGCCCGCCCCGGCCGCCGAGCCCACCGAGCCGGTGGAGGACGAGCTCACCGACAGGCCGTCCAGCGGTGCGTTCATCTCCCCGCCGAGGCCCGAGCGGACGCGGGGCGCGCCGAGGGGCAACTGCTGGCGCTGGCCGGCACCGGAACGGCAGCCGGAGCCCGGGGGGCGCGGAGACGGCGGCCGGAGTCTGGCTTCGCGGCGAGCGGGTGGGCGCGGAGAAGGGGCTGGATCCGGGGAGACGAGGGGACGGCGGCCGGAGTCTGGGTCTGGGGGGCGAGGCAACAGTGGCAGAATCCCGGGGGGATCGCGGAGACCGCCGCTGGAGTCCCGGGCGCGCGAAGACGGAGGGGTCCTGATCCTGGAGTCCGAGGGGCGTAGAGACGGCGGCTGGAGTCAGGAGGACACGGAGACGGCGGCCGGAGTCCGGGCAACGCGGAGACGGCGACAGGGTCCCGGGGGACGTGGAGTTGGCGGCTGTAGCCCGGAGGTCGCGGAGACTGCGGCTGGAGTCCGGAGTGTGTGTTGGGGGGGGGGGAGGCGGGGACGCGGAGAGAGCAGCTACATTCGGGAGGGCACAGAGACGGCGGGTGTCTGGAGTGGGGGGCGCAGCAAAGCAGACCGCCCCGTCACACCATGCCCGGGGCTCCCCAGCCGGGCCGCCCGTTCCTCTCGGGCTGGGGGACCCCAAAGTCTTAAGTTGGGGTGGGGGCGCTCTAGTCCCCCAGCCCCTCGAACCGCAGCCCGTGGAGCCGCGCGGGCGTCCACGAGGGGCTGCGGGACATGTCCGAGGACGCAGCAGCCCCCGGACCCCCGCGGTCCTGCGCCGCCTGGGCGCAGACGGAGCCGCGCCGCCGCGAGCCGGGACTTTGCGAACTGTTGAGCTGCCCGGGGCCGATCTTCCAGCGAGTTCCGACGCCGTCGCCGTCGCCTGCCCAGACTTGGCCCCGCCCCCTGCCCCTCCCCCTCTCTCCCCCCTCCCCCCACGGGCTCTTCAGGAAATGACGTCCCGCCTCGCGCCTGGCGGTTGCCTGGAGACGGGGTGAAACAGTCCAGCCCAGGGGAAGAAAGGGGTGAAAGTGGGGGTTGGGGTGGGAGGAGCTCCGGGGGCCCTGCGAAGCCCCCTTCCCACTTCTCCAGCCACGAGTTGAGATCGGGTGGGCTCCAAACCTATGCTCTTTGGGGATCGAAGCCTAAGCCTCAGGACCGCTTTGGAGCAATTAGCCGGCTAGCTAATTCACAATTATGGGGGAAAATAGCCAACTTTTTGCCTCTAAACTGCTAAACACGCTAGGCTCGGTTTCCTGCCTTAAAATGTTGCGCTCTCACTCTTGCACTCCCCGACTTACAAGTTCAAGTGTTTCTGTGGACGATGGTTGGGCACCTACTGTGTGCTAGAGATCTATACAAGCGTATTCCGGGTGCCTGCCGACTGGACCACTACCTGGGAGGCCAGAAAGCCGCTTTCAGAAATATAAGTATACACAACCCGCATACACACACAAATGGGTGAGTGTAAGACTGGTAAAATCTGAATAAGGCAGGTGGGTTGTATAACAATATCAATGTACTGATTGTGATCTTGTCAACACAGGGGAAAACATGGGATGTCTGTGTATTCTTTCTTACAAATTCATGTGAATCTACAATTATCTCAAAAAAAATTTAAAAATTTGTATAAAGGATTGGGGAGAAAAGTATTCTGTGCCTTCCCATTCCAGGACGAAATGGGAAGATATTCCAAGGTGTGGCCTAGAGTTCTCCCCCACCCCACTACCCAAATATGATCCAGATTCAAAGGTGGCTTTCTAAGGAGCCCAGTACACACACACACACACACACACACACCCCCAATCAACTGACTCCTAAACTGTTCTCCTATAGGAAACTTTCTTTTCCCTAAAAACGTGGAATTGCCAATGAAAACTTCTACCTGCCGGAGAGAGAGAATGACTATCATCTAACAGAGCAGTTTGAGCTAGCCCTAGAAAGATGAAGCATCCATTTATTTATTCACTTACTTACTTGGTCACTCTTGATTCACTGTTTTTCAAGCACCTATTCTGTACTGGGTCATGTACTGGGTGCTAGAGACACTGGGTAAAAAAATGAAATTGCGGGATATCTGGGTGGCTCAGTCAGGTAAGCATCTGCCTTTGGCTCAGGTCATGATTCCAGGGTCCTGGAATCGAGTCCTGCATGGAGCTCCTTGCTTGGTGGGAAATCTTCCCCTTCTGCCAGCTGCCTCCCCTGCTTGTGCTTGCTTGCTCTCTCTCTGACAAATAAATGAAATTTTAAAAAACAATGAAATCACTCAAGGAGGTCATTGTTTCATAGGGGAGAAAGACCAGACGAATAAGTAAAGTTAAAAACCAGTATGGTAAGTGTCATGATGGCTGAGAGAGCACAGGTTTAGGGGAGGAGAATATTTGAATGACTTTATCAAAGAGGTGACACCTGAACAAAGGTCCCCCTAAGGAGAATGGGCTTTCTTTTCTGGGCATTGGATAATCACAGAAGGATTTTCAGCTCTGTTAGGTTAGTGCATGCCCAAAACTGAGGTTGGGAATCGAAGCTATATTCCCTGCATCCCCAATCTTCAAGTGTCTTATTCACTTCCCTGAGACAGATCTAGGTTAAATTGATACCCAATGAATGTATTTGTTGGAGTGTTTTAAATAACCCGTTAAGCTACCTTTGGACATATCCGTCATGGCCCTAGGTTTAGCAGCTAATGATGTGTATGGTTCTTCCTGCTTTTAACTGCCACTGAAGCCTTTGATGCAACAAGCCAAAAATATTTAGATAAAAAAAAAATCAATCTCCCCCACCCCCCAATTATTTTAATGGCATATCTCAAAATGTCACCAAGCGGGGCTTAATTATATGCAGTTCATGTTTTCTGCAAATGTATTTCATGCTCGGCTTTCACTTAGTTTGTGGTTCTAATTATAATTACTGTGATTGGCTTGATAAATGCACCTAGAAGCTAAGATCCCCATTCCCTACACTTTATCTCTGTGCAAGGATGCTTGCGGAAAAGGTATTTTGCTTCAGGCAGTAGGAACTACATCACACACATGTCTTGGTAGAGAAAGAAACACTTTCTTCTGCAAACATCAGAGACCATCTGGGATGCCATGCTATTGTTTAATTTCATAGATGCTAGTTTCAGGGAGGGGGGCAGGCAAGTACAAGAGCAGGGAAAATAACTCCTGGGGGCTTCTCCCATCCATCGTGCATAACTGCCTTCGTATCTGTTTGCATCGTGTACCCTCTGATGAGAGGCAGTGTCTAACTGTGCTCAAACCTCAGGAATTCTATTTCATGTCGGAAGATGTGTTTGTCGTTCAGAAATAAGCTCTTGGAAATCCAAGATGCCTGGGCTCCTGAGGGCTACTCTGCCTCCAGCCTTCCAGATCTGGAAGGAAGCCCTGAGTCCGGAAGCAGACCCAGCCCTGGATGCATACTGCCCTCTTCAGAAGGAAAATATTCTCTCGTGTATGCTGAGGCTTCCCTTGGCTGACTTCACCAAAGTCACTTTCACCAGGAGTTCGTTATTGCTCCCCAACTCTGGCAAATCAATGTCCTTCTCCCATGGATGTTTCTGGCACCTTGAAGACACTGGAGCAGTTGAAAGACAGTGGGAAGAGTGAATTGTATTCAAGTCCAAAGTGCTTTGTGTCAAATGAGAGTTTTGGTTGTTATGTTTTTGTTTTAACAAAGAGGTAGCATACTGAGTTGCGCTCTGGACATTAAGAAATAAAAAATTATTCCAGTTCAGAACGTCCCTTTACTAATGGAGTGCCCATAAAAAATGGCTTCCCCTCTCATCTGCGGAGTTTCTCAACCTTTCCTGTGTCCCCAAAGGGCTGCATCCTATCCAATAAAAAAACACGCAGCAACTCGTAGAATACCAGGAAGTTTTCAGTTCTTTTCTCTTCTCTTGTTAAGGCAATCTTTAAAAAAAAAAAAAAGACTTTTTCTGTTGCAAAGTCATTTGGAACTCCTCCTTTTTCTTCTTATCTGATGGAATGTATCTGTAGAAGGCAATAGAGATTCTTTTAAGATGCATTTCCTGTGGGACATAGAGAAAAATACAACTGAGGTTAATAAGTGCCAGACACTGTTTTAAACACTCAATCCCCCCAACTCTTCTGTAAAGAGAGATTCAAGGGGTGCCTGGGTGGCTCAGGGGGTTAAGCCTCTGCCTTCAGCTCAGGTCATGATCTCAGGGTTCTGGGATCAAGTCCCTCATCAGGCTCTCTGCAGGGCAGGGAGCCTGCTTCCCCCCCACCGCCTGCCTCTAGCCCTACTTGCAACCTCTCTCTCTCTCTGTTAAATAAATAAATAAAATCTTTAAAAAAAAAAAAAAGAGAAAGATTTGACCACCACCACCACCATCGTCATCATCACCCTCATCATCCTGGTAAAACAGACAGAAAAATCAGGACACAGGGACGTAACTGCCTGCCCCAAGATTGCAGAGGCAGTTAATGGAAGAGTTGGGAATCGAACCCAGGCAGTCTGGCTCCAGAGTTCTTACTCACCCGCTGTGCTGCCCAACCTCAGGCATGCTTGGTTGAAAGATGCTAAAAGGTTCCACGTGGGAAGGAGATGAAAACCACATTTCCTTACACGCTGGGCTGGGAATGTCGGAGGTTAAACACAAGCCGCATACTAAGGATTCCCAGTTGGTACGCTGCTGTTTGGTGCAGGCGGGAATGAGTGGGGGGTGTGTTTAATAAGGACCACCTCATTGAGAGAGGTGGGGTGGAGAGGATTGGGATCCCAGCCGGGACATGGAGTCAGGGGCTCAGAGAAATCTGATGCGGGGTGTCGTGGGGAGTATCTCCTGGTTTTGGAGTTACCACATCCGCTTCAGGACCACGACCTGTCTCTTCCCCACAGTGTCAGTGGGGATGGTATCAGCAGAGAAAAGGGAAATGCCCACGTCTAGGACTGGTAGACAATGCAGACAATATTGGTGGAATGGCAGGGAGATAAGAGAGAGGCGAGAAAAAGAGAACGAAACATGAGGAAAAGAGGGTACAGGTACAGCAACCCTCCCCATCCAAAAGTAGAGCGTTTTCTGATGAAACTTTGGGAAGCTGAAATGCTATAAAGCAAAGAAGGGATTAACATTCATTATTATGGAAAAACTTTTGAGCATCCTCAGACCCCCAAAATAACCTCTCTCGGGCTGTTCTTATACCTTAGGACACAGCTTGCTAACGGATGCACAGAATAAGTCAAGGTCAAGCACAGGTGCTCACAGACACAGCTCGGAGCTCCAGTGGCTTGATGCAGAGATGCTGAGTGTAGTTTCTGGGGATGGAGCTTGGTTTGAGGGCGTTGTTCTCGTGGCTCAGGGTGCACGCTGCCTATGTAACAGCTCACTGCAACACAAACCCTGAATGCTACTTTTGCTGTTTGCCTTTTTGGGGTGGGGGATACCTGTGTTTATCTTGGCCTTGGCATAATCTCCCCAGAGTCCGTCTCATGGTCATAAAGA